TCCTAAAACATAAGCACAAGTCAATGTACAAATGTATATCTATATATAAACGAGAGTTAGTTAAAATTTGAAGGAAAAACAAACAAAAACTCACAGTTGAACTAGACTCGACCAGTTTCCAATAAAGTCGGGTATTCGACCTGTGAGCTCGTCATCTGATGCCCACCTGAAGAGCACCAAACAACAACTTTAGGCACATTATTAGTGTCTTGGCGTATTAATAGTAATATATTCAATCTATTTTTTCTTTTCGAAAAAAAAAAAACGAGGAGATTTTATACTAGCTGCCTTACATTCTCTCCATGTTCCGTAGATTGGAAAATGATTCGGGTATTGGACCGCTAACTCCAGAACTAATAGTGTATCTACAAAGATTTTAAAAAATGGTTTAAAAAGAAATTTGGTTTAATAGCAGTCGAATATAAGACGCAATACCATACAATTGCGTAAGTCTTGATAAATTCCCGAGCTCGGGAGGTAAATGGCCCGTGAAGTTATTCGTGCCAAAGGACCTGCACAATATCCAAAACACAGGCAAAGTACAATGACAAAGAAAAATTAAATATAAATTTGAAGAAACCAAATTATATGACAATAATATGTTTTTGATACTTTGAAACTAAATTAAACTCACAATGATCTCAAATCTGTGAGCAGCCCAAGTTCTCTAGGGACCTCCCCTGATAAGGCATTTGTGCCAAAACTCCTAACATTAAGTGTAGAAAATTCAATAATGAAAAAACAATATATAAATAGAATAATTTCCAAAAAAAAAAAAAAAAAATTGTCGAACGTGCGCCATTCGAACGTGCGCCATACAAGTACTGCAATCGAGTGAGATTGGCTATGGATGCTGGAATCGGACCTGTCAAATAATTTTGGCCTAAATTCCTGCAACAATATCAGCCGTATATTAACTAAATTTTCCAAGTATATCATAACTTTTCTCTTACGAAAAAAATTAAAAGGAATGAAACCGAGAGCATACAAATCATTGAGAAATGTCAAATTCCATAGCTCGTCAGGAAGTGGACCGGCAACATTCAGACCATAGACTCTCCTGAACATGAATAGAACTTGAAAATACATTAGATTTAGTATTAGAACGTGAAATATACGAGAATATACATCAGAATCGTATTTACGACATGAAAAATATTTATTAATGTTAGAGCATGAACTATATATATGTATATACGTAAAAATATATAAAATGAAACCGCGTACAAAGCCGTGATGTGGCAAGTGGTCCCGTTATCGTCACTGCAATCGCATTTTATCCCGGGATTTATATTTACAATTTGTGTTCGATCGGTAGAAATGCCGCTACACAACTCGCCGCTAATGTTCCATTCGTTCGAGGCCGAAATTCCCCACCCGTCGAAAATCGCATTCAAAGCCCTTGCTGCTAGGATCCAACAAATAGTATCATGATATTATTATTATTGTTGTTGTTGTTATTATTTGTTAGATATCCAAAAATATTGCGGATGTATCTTGGCTAGGGGTGAGCAAACCATGCCGAATCTGTGCAATGCGCTTCTGTTTGGTTTTTTTAATGGTAAAAAAAATCAGTTCGATTTCGGTTCGGTTTTTTTAAACATTGCGGTGCGGTGCAATTATAGTTTTTTATAAGTTCGATTTTTGGTAGGGCGATGCAGAATATTATTATTATTATTATTATTATTATTATTATTATTATTATTATTATTATTATTATTATTATTATTATTAGCATTTAATACTTATTTAAAGACCTCTCTTATTTGTTATTCAGTAGTGAATTTGAGAATGAAAAATTAATCGTGTTCTTTCGGGAGAGTATCCAAGTTCGAGAGAGTATCTCGTTTTATCCTTCTCATTCGTACGCTTCCCCTACATCAGCTTTTTTCGACCGAACATTCGCGAACAAAGTTCGTTCGTGTTCGATAACAGCTTGTTTGTTAAGCATTCGAACCGAACACGAACATAAAATTACGCTTGTTTAGTTATCGAACGAACATGAACGTTCGCAAACTAAACGAGCGTTTGCGAACAAAAAAAAAATAATTTATAATTTTATATATTATATATAGTATATACATGTATAATATAATAAATAAATATGAATATATATTAAATATTAAATAAAATAAAAATATTTTATAATTTAAGGGAAAAATTCAAAACTAGTCCCACATATATAGGGGGTGACATTTTTTATCCCAACGGAATCTAGAAAATATTAATAGTCCGCAGCTTTTAAAAAATGATCAAAAGTAAAACTTTTTAAATTTTCCAGCTCGGAATGCCACGTCGCACACACGTGGCCACATTCATCTGACGTGGTTGAGTACAATGCCAAGGAAAAAAATCAAAACTAGTCCCACAGGTTTTGGGAGGTGGAATTTTTTGTCCCAACGAAATTTTAAAAATATTAAATAGTCCCATCAGGGGTGTGAGACGTGGCATTCCGGGCCAGAAAATTGAAAAAAATCCTACTTTTGATCATTTTTTAAAATCTGCGGGACTATTATTATTTTCTGGATTCCGTTGGGACCAAAAATGACACTCCCCTATACCTGTGGGACTAGTTTTGAAATTTTTCCTATAATTTTTTGTATTATATACACATATAATATAATGTATAAATATAAATATATATTAAATATTAAATAAAATAACTTTTATAAAAATAAAAAAAGTTAAAAAAAACACGAATACGAACATCTCGAACATTTCGAACACGAACTTGTCGAACAATTCAAACAATTCACGAACAAGTTCGACTAGATAAACGAACAAACACGAACATGTCCAACCAATAAACGAACGAACACGAACGATATTTTTTGTTTGTTTACTAAATGAACGAACACGAACATGTTCGAAAATTAGTCCAACTCGAGTTCGAACACCTTAAGCTCGGTTCGGTTCGATTTGATAACAGTTCTAGTTTTAGGTTTTGTTCGGTTAGGTGCGGTTTTGCACGAACCACACCAAATTGAATAAAATATATAGAAAAACTGAGATAAAACTGAAAACCTAGCCAAACCGTGCACTTCGGTGCGGTTCGATTCGGTTACTTCAGTACAAAAAAAAAAACGGTTGGATTTCGATGCAGTTTTTTTAAGTTGCGGTGCAATTCAACTTTTTTTTTCTTAGATCGATTTTCGGTTATTTTCGGTTCGGTGCGGTTTTTCACCGAACCATACCATTACTCATCCCTATTCTTGGCAAAACGAGGTGGGCCAAGGTTTGGCACCCGGCCCGTCTTATTTATTAAACGGGACGAAATCGATCTGGCCCGTTTATAAAATTGGGCTAGCCCGACCAGCCCCAAAAGCTACATATCCGGACCAAATTGGCAAATTGGCACCCTAGTTGTGTAGTTTACTAAAAGCTTTATTTGTACTATATAGTATATTTTATTTGTATTAGTTGATCAAGATTCAAAGGTGACAGACGCATTAAAATAATAATTCAAAGTAACAATAATTATGCACTAACAATCAAATTACCCTCGCAAGTGGTCCTAGTTGGCTAGTTGGTTTTCGGGTAAAGTTCTCAAATAAAGGCAAAATACGGGTGAAATATGCAATTTTCTTAATCTTCATAATAAGGTGGGTGTTTGACCTAAGGGGCCCACTAGTGGACTTGATACCCAAATATATCCAAATTTACATGTGAGAAAACTTTTCACTCAATTATATGTATGGGTAAAAACATTTTTATTGCATTTGTTTTTATTTACAACCAATACTATTTTTTTTTAGTATAATAAATGTGACAAATTATAAATATATATGCATAAAAAAATATAAGATAATGTTACAAATTATAATAAATATGCATAAAAATATATAAGATAATAATTCATGAGATAGATGTACTAAATGTTGCAAATTGAAAAAAAAAAAACTATAATACAGGCTGTAAAAAGTACCTTACAAAAAAAATAAAATATAAGATAATAATTCATCAATCAATCAACAATTAGGCAAAAAATATTTCAATAAAAAAAATAGAATTAGGCAAAAAAAAAAGGAAATGAATAAATAAATAGAAAAATTGATAACAACAACAAAAGAGACGCACCTTCGGATGGATCGGTGGTGGCATTAGTTGTCTGACTTTGAGTTCTAACGGTACTTATGAGTTGACCAAACGTGAAAACAAGCCACAAAAACATCATCTTACCGCCGCCGTCGCCGCCGCCGGACGTCCCAGAGGGCGGCGCCGCCGAAATCGGAAAATATGCTGTCCGAGAGAGTTTAGTAATCAAGCAGAGGAACATGTGAGGCGATGTGGGACAGGCGGTTTGAAGAAACGGTACATTTTATTTCAGATGAGGAGATATCTGTGCGTTTAAAACGATGTCGTTTAAAACAATATTATTTGTTAGGCATTTTAATACATCGTCTATCACCACAAATTATATTAAAATTCGAGATAGGCTCAAATAAATCAATTAATTATTTAGTAAGATATATATGATATTGTGTAAGTGTATGCAATCATTATTTATTTTGTAAGTGTATGCAATCAAATTCAAATTTGTATTATAGAGGATTAAACAAAACTTAAATTTTTAAGATGTTCCAATCCGATTTAATTTTGAATTGTAATATAATATTATCTGACTCTATTTATGTTTAAAAAAACATCGAACTAAAGAAAGTAATAGCCAAATGATATGAGATATTTAAATTTTAATTTTCAATTTGAAATTGGACCCGATTTCTATGCAATCCATTTTTTTTGTTAATAAACATGATATGTTGCAATTAGGTAAATATACATGTCATAGTATTTTGCTTAATAAAAAATGAGAGAATTTTTAATTTTTTAAAATTGTCATGCGAATTTTACATAATTTAACCCGATTTATATGCAATCCGATTTTTTAATAAATAAATAATTTGTATCAATTAGTAAAAGATATACGTTACAGTATTTTTGTCTAATTTGAAATTTTCGATTTTATGGTAATGAAATTTTTTTAAATAAAAAATGAGAAAATCTTTTAACTTTTGAAAAAATGTATGCATCAGTCAAAATTTACCTAAATTAAATCCACAAAAACCCATGAATTTAGGGTGCATATATAGCTGATTGGTTTTTTAGGAATAATTAAAAAAAATTGTCAAAAATAGAATATGCAATAAATGTTGGTTGACTTTTCTTATTACCATATTTGGTAAATAAATTGTCTCTTTATATATATATAAATAATCTATCTATATTTATATAAGTGAATTGCTATTTACCGTCCCTCTTTTACTAGTCACCGCCCCCATCAATTTTAATAAAACTAATTGAATTTTATTTATTTCCGTGACAATCTAATATATTTTTTAATAAGGTAACTAAAACTTAATCAATGACATTTTTTAATAATGATTAATTAAATTATTTATATTTTTAATTATTTTATTATTTAATAGTTATTACTAAAGCTAACCAATTATAATTCACACTAAATGATATATAGAAGTTCAACGAATATAAAATATTATATTGCAAATTTTTTTCTTAAATTATTTATTGCTCTTAAGTATTTTTTTAAATAAGCAAATTGGCTTTAGTGGATAACCAAACCTCTTAAAATTTGATAATAATAATAATAATAATAATAATAAAGGAGTGGGGGCCCAGATAGTATCTCGGCTCCCCTCCAATTTCTTGTAATCATTTTGATTTCAATAATAATAATAATAATTATAATAATAAAAAAAAAAAAATAATAATAATAATAATAACAATAATTTTTAAGATAATTAATAGATCATATTCTCTCAAATTTATAAAAGTACATTATCCATTTCATTTTATGAAATTAATATAGTTATGAAATTAAATGTTTTCATTTATAGTATTTATTTTAACTAATGACAAATTTTAAAATATGATACTATTATCTAACTCATAACTCTAATGTTATATGCATACATATAACTTATAATAATTTTAACATCCGTGCAAGCGCACATAATCGAATAATGTAAAAAATAAAAGCAAATAATTCAAGTTTTATTTGACCATATCATTGATTCATTTTGTGAAATATCCTACATTAAAATTAAAAAGTTGATGATGCGCACGTGGGAACTTGAGATTGTACATGGCCATCGGGAGACGAATGTGGTGGCGGATTTTCTGGCGTCTTTAGCGGCCAAGTGGACAGGTGGGTTACACCGTTTCGACCGCCCTCCGTCGGGGGCAGGAGTTTGGTTACAACATGATCTCATGGGCGTTGTTATCGAGCGTTAGCATTTTAGCTACGCCGTCCTTTTCCCGTACCAAAAAAAAATAAATAAATAAATAAAAAAATATCCTACATTAAAATTGCTCTTGTTCTATAAATTGAAGAATCCTGCCTGGCCAAACAAGATGCCAACAGATTTGGAGTAGTGGGCTTATTCATAGGCCGCCACGGAGCAGGATGAGTTGGGCGCCCGCTCAGGCCCATAAATGAGAAAGTGCACCTAATTATATATTTGTGTGTATGTAGTTTAATTAAAGAAATCAGAATAAAAATAAAAATATATATATATTCTTACAGTCCCGCTCACCTGCCCACGGTGGGCAGTGCCCACTAGTTTGTTTTATATGAAAAACGTATTATAAGAATACGTTTTTCAATTAAATTTAATTAAAAAACGTATTCTCAAAATATGTTTTTCATATAAAACAAACTAGTGGGCACTGCCCACCGTGGGCAGGGGAATATATTATATATTCTTAATATAAAACTAATTCTAAAAAATATTTCTTTTCCCAATACATTCACATGCTTTTCAATTTTGTTCCCTATATATCAAATTCTCATAATAAAAACCTAATACATTCACAGGCTTTTCAATTTTGTTCCCTAAATATCAAATTCTCATAATAAAATCGATTAATAATTATAGATAATAAAATTAATATTGTTTACAGTTTTTCTTTTTTTTTTTCAATTAATTACTCTAGATTTCTAAAATTGAGTATACAAAGTTATTACTTTGTTACTATTTTTTTTCAATTAATTACTATTTTTTCAATTATTTTGTTACTATTTTTTTTAAACTTCATTAACTTTCTTTCATATAACGTGATAATTTTTGGCAAATTTAATTTTTAAAAGTAAAAACACTAAAAAATCATTAATATATTCATCCCGGGGGCACAATAATTTTCGGGACGACCCTAACCTTATAGCATAATCGCCCGTCACTAATAATTGATTTTACTCAGCCCCAAAACATAAATGGATAAAAGGGCCCATAATTCCGGCCAATAGGCCCAATATCCTCACAAGTCACAACTCACAACTCACAAACTCTGCGCGGCTTCAACGCTAATAAGACATGAATATAGGGACCGATTTGCAAATAGTGGAGTGTATATTATTAATTCATCTATTAAAAACTATGCTTGGGTTTAATATTTTGAATAATTTAGATTCGATGGTCTTAATTATTCATGTATATACTAGTACAATGCCCGTGTATTAGCTTGCTATTTTTTTCTTAAAATCTAAATTAATGAGAAAAAGTAATTGAAAATTTAAATAACTTTTATAAAACTATATATATATATATATTATATATTTAGTATGACACTTTTTTATTTGTGCGACTTACTTGTGTTATCTATATATATATATAATTGCTAGCTAATCATTAAATAAAACTTCATAAATAAAACCTAATTAATAAAACCTCATTTATTTTCCTTCTAAAAGAAGTTACAAAATTTGTCGTTTATATTTTGCCTTTCACATTAATACACCTATTAAGTGTAATCATGTAAAAAATTAATAGCATTAAATATTATATAATATGATAGCAAAAAAATAGCATTAGCTACTATAATAATAATAATAATAATAATAATAATAATAATAATAATAATAATAATAATAATAATAATAATAATATTAATAATAATGATAATAATAATTATATTTTGAAACAATAAAATTGTTTATACTTATGTAATTTATATTTAGTGTGAAATGTTATGATTTGGTAATAGCATTAACTATTATATAATATAATAGCAAAAAATTACATGATTACACTTAATAGGGTGTATTAATGTGAAGGCGAAATATGAATGACAAATTTTGTAACTTCTTTTTGAGGGAAAATAAATGAGGTTTTATTAATTATGTTTTATAAATACATGATTACACTTAATTAGGTTTTATGAATGATATTATTATTATTATTATTATAATTTTATATTTCATGAAACAATTTTCTTTAGAAACAATTAGTAAATAGTTTTAATAGTATAGTAAAAAACCTTTAAAATCTTATAAACAATTGTCGTTGTAATAAGAATAGTAATAATAATAATTATTATAATAATAATAATTATAATAATAATAATAATAATAATAATAATAATAATAATAATAAAGTTTTGAAGTAAATTATTTGACCATGATCCCTCCAAATTATAAAAATACATTACCCACAATTTTTTAATCAATATAGTGATTCATATGTACTCAAATAATTTATATAAATATTATTTTATTTTTACTAATGATTAAATCTTGAAAATGTGGTATGTCCATTATCTAGAATTTTAATATTAAATTCACATATCTTGAAAATGTGATATGTTTATTTTCTAGAATTTTAATATTAAATTCTCATATCTTATAAAATATTAATCTATATCTATATATCTATATCTATTTATATATAATTGCTAGCTAATCATTTAATAAAACCTAATAAATAAAACCTATTTAATTTTACCTAATAAATTATACCTAATAAATACTACAACCTTCCATATACAAATGAACCTTACTTTTACAATTAAGGATTATTATTGTACATTTATTATTATACATTGTAACGTTTCACTCTTTTAAATGGTATTTTCATCTTTTTATTTTTTTTTATGACATCTAATAAAAACTAATTAAAATTTAAAACAATCTATATATATATATATATATATATATATATATATATATATATATATATATAATAGGGATTATCACATCAATAAATATTTACATATTCCACTCTTTTTTTTTCTTTTTACATTAGTAGCTTCGCTTTTACTTAATATGCAAGCATACTAATGTTGAAATTAATTGTTACGGTTTTATCCGCTCATTTAATAATTCTAACTTTTATTCTATATATTTTTTAAATAGAATGATTACAAATTATTCTACCAAACCCTGTGGGTATAATACAAAAATAGAAAATAAAAATAAAACAATCATTCTTATAAGTAACAATTTATTGTTGCATAAGAACGTGTTTAATTTTTTAAAAAATA